GTAATTCTTTCTCATTGAAGACATTCAAAGATAAGAAGATATTTCAAGATAACAAAGTCTAAAATACTTCCTTCCATGAAATGCCAAAACAGAAAGTTGTGCGCAAGAAAATGGATTAAGAAAAGGTAATATCATGCAAATATCCCCAAAAGAATGACTTACACATGTTTTAGTTGTTTTTGTTGACAGGGAGGTTTGTAAAGCTGGGTTCAAAACCTCCTCAAGAAAAGCATTCTGACTCACAAAGACAACCTTCCAAATTTCAAATTTTTCTTCAATTCTGTGCTGGTTTTGGCTGAGGTAGATTTAATTTTCTTCACAGTGTCTCATATGGGGTTGTGTTATGTATTTGTGCTGAACTCAGGGTTGATAATATAGAGACGTTTTTGGTTTTGTCCAAAAAGGACTGGTGTGGTTTAACCCCAGCCAGCCGGAACTGAGAAAAAATAAGACCTTGGGAAAGAATGAGAAGAACAAAAGAGAGAAAACTCGTGGGTTGATATAAAGACAGTTTAATAGGGAAAGCAAAAGCTGTTGACACAAGCAAAGCAAAACAATTAATTAATTCACTGCTTCCCGAGGGCAAGAAGGTGTTCAGCCATCTCCAGGAGAGCTGGGTCTGATGAGCCAGGACAGTGACTTGGGAAGACAAACACTGTCCCTTCAAATGTCCGCCCTTTTGTCCTTCTTCTCTCAACTTTATATACTGCTGATGATATCACATGGTCTGGAATATCCCTTTGGTCACTTTGGGTCACCTGTCCTGGCTGTGTCTCCTCTCAATCTCCCAAGCACCCCCAATTTCTTCACCAGCTGGCAGTGTGAAAAGCAGAAAAAGGTTTGACTCTGTGTGAGCCCTGCTCAGCAATGACAAAAACATCTCTTTATTCTCAACCCTGTGCTCAGCACAAATCCAAACACAGCCCCATATCAGCCACTGTAAAGAAAATTAAATCTACCCAGCCCAAACCAGCACAACTTCCCAAGTTATGTATTTTAGAAATCTTTATATCATAAGATATTGTCTGGTGCACAGCCATTTGGTGATCATTGATTTTAAATAATTTAAATCATTGTATTTTAAAAAAATGAAAATACTCTCAAAATATGGTATCTGAGGGTTGACTTTGTTAAATCTCTTTACTGCAATCACTTTACTGCAATCCAGTTTTTATTGGATTTTTTTTAGCTATTCTGCATGTGATCACATTTAGAAAGGTGGAAGAATAACATGAGAACCTTTTAATTAAAATTGTCATTACCTCAAATGCTGTGAAAAACATGTCAACATTTATGGCAAATGGAGCATGAAACACAGCACTGTGAAYATGATGGTCAAATTGCTGGGTAAGTAAATATTCTGCCTCAAAACCTTTTCCATGTCAGATGTGGATAAACATTTAAAGTAYGGTTCTACTATGAAAAGAAGCTGTCAGAAAATAAGTCTTTTGTATTTTGGAGAGCTGCTTCTTATGTTTACTCATGTGACTGAAAACATCAGACTCTATTCCAGCTAGCTGTATTCATTTCATCTGCAAGGCTGGCTACACAGACATGATTGAGTGTGCTTACTTATGTCTCTGGCACAATGAACATAATTGTTAATTAGTTTCCAAGAATAAAATCTTAATTGCTGGTAAAGATTGTGTATCAAAGCACAAGTGAGCAGTTTTGTTCGTGACAGCATCTGGGTAACATGAGTTCAGTATGTCCTGCTTTCAGATTCCACCAAAGGCTGTGAATGTTTAGTACCTTAGATTACAGTGCTTGAGTTTTCTTCATGTGTTAGAAACGGTGAGCAAACATTTCAGATGCTCACTGTGAAGAAAAATGGAGGGAAAAAAAAAAAAAAAAAAAAACCAAAACATTAGAAAGACAAACTATGGGGAGCCAAGAGAAAACTTTCTTCCATATCCACCCCAAGCTGGCAGGACATCTGCTCAGTGCCCACCATCTGGGCGTGTCTAATTAGGGACTACCTGGAATAGGCTCTCACAGAGCTATTACAGAAACAGCTCTGCAGCAGATGCAGCTTCAGTCCCTGAGGGCTGAAAGATAAGGCTGCAAGAAAACAGGGACCACTGAGCAGTGGGAATATTGTATCACCTTGTGCAGTAGTTTTGGACAGCAAAATGCTGCCAGAAAAAATCAGTATTGCTCGCACTTGGAATTTACATGGAATCCAACAGGGAGCGATGATTGCACAGAGCAGCAAATACAAAGACATTGGAACTGCACACTGAGATGTAGTAAATACATGCAGTCCCATACTGATCCTTCTGATGCACCACAGTTTAGAGTGATGTGATATGGATTTTTTTTTTTTTTTTAATATATTTTTTAAACTATTCTTTTCAGGTTTTAGTAACTGCTCAATTCCAAATCATATTCAGCTGAAATTTAACACAGTTATTATCTGTTTCGTTTTCCACACTCTTGCCAAAAAATCTCTTTAAAGATAACTTTCAGGGATTAAACAAATTGCAGTATAGCATCAGGAGAAAAAAAAAAAAAAGTTATTTTTCTCTTTCTCTAGCTTTCTTTTTCTGCAGAAGTATCAAACTTGCCTGGTATAGCACTCATGCTTTCTGCAGACTCAAACACTAACTCAGAATCTTTAGATATCTCAAGGTAACTCTAAAGAACTGAAGCAACTTCACTCGTACTGGACATGCATTTATGTAAAACTGCTGTTTGTAAGAAAGCTCAATTTTTAATTTTTTTTTTTTTTTTTTTACTTTTTGATAGTGATACTGATCCTAAAGCTTCACTCTGTAGAGTTTGCAATAGGAAAGAAAGGTCTGGGTTCTGGTGGAGCTTTTCTTGGAACAGCCCCATAGATGGCGTGAGCTGGCTCATGGCTTAGGGCACAGTGCCAGCTACAGAGCCGTCTGGTCACCTTCACTGATGCTCTCAGGAGAGCCACMATCAGCTCTGCCATCTTGTTGAAACAAGGCCATGCTTTTAAAAACACAAACCATAACAGATATAGCATGTCATAAAGGTTATACCTGCTCCATGACCTATTTCAGTTATGCTCAACTTACAAAACACCTGTCCTTTCCTGGGTCTTTAAGACCAACTTGTGTGTCGCAGAGTCCTCACTCCAGATCACCCCCCYCTTTGCACAGGAGCACGAATGAAAACTTCAGGGAGCTGCCTGCCTGTGAGACCCTTCACAGTCCAGATCCTAAACACTCATGCCCTTTGGCCTCCAGCTGTCTTGTGCTTGYAATCAGATATCAATAGAAACTTCCAGATCTTCATCTTTGGGGCTGACACCAGATGTGGACAGCCACATAAATTCCTCTGTAAAAGGCCAGTTGCCATTCCGTTGGCCAGAGAATCACTCACTCTTATATCTTGATTATAATTTTCCCAGAAGGGTTCTGAATAAAGTGTAGTATAACCCATACAGGATTGCAAGCATTAATGATGTATTCATGATATATTCACCTACAAAAATGGTGTATATTCTTAGACACAAAAATATATTCCTCCTTCAGGTTAGTCTAATTTCCATCAGAATTTAATGCAGCTTCTCAGTATTACCACCTGGCTTTTAGAGGCTCAGTGGGGTTTTCAAGCATAGAAAGATTATTTGTCAGTTTTTTCCTGGTAGCTTAWTAAAACTGTGCATTAGTGAAAGCCACTGTGGTAAATTTGAGGATGGCTGGAGACAGTAGCTCCAGCTTTGACTGTGCAGTGCACTGATTCAAYGTCATGAGGGTGATCAGAATTCAAGAGTCTAGTGATAAGCACAGGAATGGATAAGGCCAGCTGGGATTGGCGGTGGAGAGGTGAAATAGTGAGTGACCTGAATGTGACCTATTTCTGCTTATCCTTCTGAAATACTCGAGGTGCATGGAATAAAGGATGYAATGTTAAACCTCTTCTAGAGGAAAAGAAACCCTATGCTGATACTTGTCAGAGAGGATAAGATGTGAGGGAGGATAAAAATACTGGGAGATGTCTATGTAAACACCTCAAAAATCTGGAAACACTTGAAATTTATGAAAATTATGACTATGTTGAAAGACCTGCAATTACATTCCTCTTGCATATTGACATGGTGGGAATTCTACTGTTAAAATCACCTTGATATACACAAGAGCATCATGCTGTCCCCAGGCTGATCTCAGGTCCATTTCTTAATACCCACCTGAATCCACACAGAAGTTTGCCATGTCACAAAAGATAACTGATCTTYAGTGAAAACTTTAGTTATAAACATTTCATATGTTAAGAGATCTTCACAGGGCTTTTCAATTTTTATTTTTTTTTCCCTGGGAAATAATCCTAAATGCTGTTTTAATCTTGAATGTAGAAAAATAACTGAAAAACTGAGATTCAGCTTAATCAAATTTATTTCTATATTTGTACTGAACAGCTTTATCACAGTCTTCTCTGAAAGAATAGTGAGAAAGCTGAAATCATTTTGTCTTGGAAATTTCAAACTTTGATTACAAAACAAGGAATTTTTCTAGGTGGCCCTAATCTTTCAGGTCAATGACCTAAGAAAAAGCAGTTACTTGTACAGACCACTTGTATGTCAAAACTCTTTATTTGCGTGTCACAAAAAGAAATATTAAAAGAAAGGCAAATAGCTTTTCCATACATCTCTGACCCCCCAATAAGTTTAGGTCCTGACAATTCTCYAGGGMAACAGYATATGTACTTAAAAACMGAAACATAGATTTATGAAACAAGARCATACTGTCAGYGTGGCTCCCCAGATGAAAAATGGACAAGAAAGGAAAATGAAATTTCTGCCTACAAGTTAAAGATCTGCTTAATGAAAGGAACCAGTGGCAAAAGCAAATATTGTACTTTACCAAGGTGAGACATGAAAGGCACAGTGAGCATCTTCTTTAAAAAAAAAAAAAAAAGCCAACAAGTGTATGGAAAAAAAGCATCTTTAAAGGTCATCGCTCTTTCCTATGGCTTCTGGCCAAAAAAGAAAAGAACAGCACTGAATGTTGTATGTCACCATTGTACCAAACTACAGGTGAGGAAACATGCCTTAAGATAAAACTTACAGCAAATGCCTGACATTCTTTTACTGTTCTTCTGTTAAACCCTTGGCAGAATTTTCCCCAGTATTCCTCATTTTGTGAGTCAGTGTGGGTCATCTGCTAGGCTACACACAGAATGGGCACATTACATAAACAGTAGTTTAAAATTAAAACGGCTCGCTTTAAATCTATTTTAAAGAAATATTTTACTATGCTTGAAATTAAGCCTAAGATTAAATGATACACTGCTTTATGGAATTGGAGCATAAGATTTGTAGGAATACTTGGGAGTTAACTGAGACATAGAACTAATTTACAAATACAGTGGAAAAACATTCAGAACTGATGGGAACATTTGTAAAAATAAAAGATCGTGGGACTTCATGAGCATAGTGAGAGATATGATTTTCATAACTTTTTCAATTGTATTTTCAGAATATACTGCTGTATGGAGTAGTCCTCCTGGTTTAAAAAGTGCTAGTCTGACAAAATTGTCTGGATTGGAAGATTCCTATTCCTTCTAAAAACAAGGTGAGATTTTTCAGAAAATTGTTTTGTTTTTTTTTTCCCCCACTCATAGGTAAATAACAAAAAAGTGTATTTGCCAATGTACAAATACAGTTTCATATGACTTACATGGAACTGGAGAAACAAAACATGAAATAGTAAACAAAATAAATAAASAAAATTAATACAGGCCTGGGAATTCTGACTAGGGTTCATTTCTCATATTGCAGTACTAKTTCATTGTCAGAAGGGAGTCCCTARATGGAGATGGGAGATTAGGGGAGAAAAACACTGAGGAGAAGAATGAGGTTCTGAGCTGCTCAGATACATAAATCTATGTAAGAACTTGAGTTATCTCTTTCTGCATGTGGGAGTGAAGTTGTTGTTCTACAACTCTGACATTGTTTTTCCTTAAAAGTGAAATTCTGTCATTGTCTTTTGAATGAAAAAAACCTGAAAATTTGAATGGAAAATATTAGCTAATCCCAGTAGACTTTCAGGTATAATATTTGGTGTTCTGCAAACTGGAATACAGCGTTAACTGTGTGTAGTTCAGCTACCCATGGGAAAAAAAAAACAAACAAACAAACAAACAAACAAAAGAACCAAAAAACAAAACCAAACAACCAGGGTCCTATTTTTGCCCCCATGTTAGAGAAATAATTCAGTATGGCATTTTATTTGTCTAGTTTGGATGAGACAGAGGATGCGTATCCAGTACAGATCAGATTTTGAAGGTATTTATCTTTCTGATGATAAAAATGAAGGTATTTCTAACACTGAAAACTGTATTTGTTATTTTTTATCAGATAAACTTTA